AAATCTTATACCTAGTGAATTTGTTTTCAAGTTTAAAGACCACAGACAGTTCTAAAATGAAAAAGTTCAGGGTATAAAACCCCCACATGTCCCTTTTGAAGATAAATTCTTGGCAATAAAATTCAGCCAATCAAGAATGATTCACAAGAAAAAAATGAGGAATAGGAAACTGAGGGGAAAAACAATGATAAACAGTGAACTCATATAAACATAGGTTTTTACACTGACTATGCGAATTATGGCTGCAAATCAAAAGGTAAAAATAATAAATTCTAACAAAAGAAAAATAATACAAGCAACAAAAATTGGAAAGTAGGAAAATAGGAGATGGGAAGAGATGTAATACTAAACACCTCATATCTCACACTCTATCTTCACTACTTGAACCTGAATCGTTCCATTAAAAAAAAACAAAACTACTCCCATTATTCAGTGCTTTTGACATCCTTTTTTTAATCCTGGAAGAATCTTTAGAATGGATATCTTTAACAGTGAAGAAAATCTTATTTTAAATTCTGTAATTCTGTCCATTTTCCTTCAAGTTTTTTTATTCTGTTAAATTCAAGTACAATTAATACTGTACTAAATTTAAATTTTATTTTAAAAGTGCATGTAAGAAATCACTTCTTATAAAACTATTCCTACTCAATCTATCTACTTATATATTCATCCATCCATCCTTCTGTCTGTAGATATTCATAGAGAGATGACAAAATAATATCCCACCGCTATTAACCTTAGTTAGATTATAGAACTTAGGGTGACATCATTATTTTTAATTATTATTATTATTTTTTTTTTTGAGTTGGAGTCTCACTCCGTCACCCAGACTGGAGTGCAGTGGCCGCTCCCAGCCACCGCAGCCTCGACCTGCTGGGCTCCGGCGATCCTTCCACCTCAGCCTTCCAAGTAGCCGGAATTACAGGCATGCACTACCACGCCCGGCTGATTTTTTGATTTATTGTAGAGGTGAGGTCTCGCTGCCCAGGCGGGTCTTGAATCCACAGGCTCAGGCAATCCACTCACCTCAGCCTCCCAAAGGCGCGGGATTACAGGCTGAGGCACCGAGCCCGGCTATTTTTCAATCTTTATTTTACACTTTGGAAAAAAATTTTGTATGACTTTGGATAAGATGATTTTCTAAAACAGTTTAAAAAATCAAATTGCCAAAATAGACTCAAAAATAAAGTCTGAAGTAAGTAATTGATAGCCTTAGAGAAAATTTTCACCCATGATCATCACCCTACCCTGCATAAACAAGTAAAGTTTCAATGGCATCATGGGTCATGCTTTTAAAACTTTAACAATATGATACTTCTTCCACCATTTTCACA